CGGGAGTTTCGTCTTCCCCCGCTTCCCGTATTCTCCCCTTTCTGCCCCCTCCACGACTTCCCCCTCTTCTGTTCGTCCTCTCTCCTTGCCAAGCCCTGGAGCGTTCACTCCGTTGTGGCGTCATCCCTGGCCCGAGCCACAGAGGGCCTCGACTCTATGGGAGTCGCAGGACTCTATGGGAGTCGCAGCCACAGCCTTGGGAGCTCTTTGGTCTCATCCTCCCCCGTCCATCAGAGGAGGAAGAGGTACCCATGCCTCTACCCTTCGCCCGTTTCCCCCTTTTTGGGGCTTCTCGGGGGCCCTCGTCGCTACCGCTGGGTTCGCCTCGAAATCTTGGTCAGAACACACCCAGGCAGAGTTTCGGGGAGTAGCGGTATCGGTGGGTACCTTTTGGTTTCCCCAGTCCACTCCGTGCTCCTGCCTCGGCGTCGCACTGACTTACTCATGCTATATGTGCGTCGCCCCCCCAGGGGCGACGCGCGCACCGTGAAATCTTGAGGTGCACGCGCCGCGGCGGGTGCGTCCTGGCCATACCGCTCGGGAGACGGTGCTCTACAAGAGGGTCATACTGTGTGTTTGGGCCGGGCGCACGCCCCCAAGGCGAGCACGCAGTGCTGGTCTGTCTTTGCGCATCCCATCCCACTGCCCCCCTCCCTCCCTGCTCCCCCTCCCGTCGCGGGTGGCGCAGGGGCAGCCGGGCGTTTGCCCTTTGCGGTGCTCTTCTACGCCATGCCATGCCGTGCTCTGCAGTGCATCGCGCACCCTCTCGGGATCCCTGCCCTGCTCGACCTCCGGCTGTGCGAGCAGAGAGGGGATCTGCGCCATGGCAGGGGACGGGAGGGAGGGGCAGGATGTCAGATATGACGCGAGCGCGCCTAGCTTGCCCCCCCCCCTCCCCCTCCTCCTCCTACTCCTCCTCCTCCTCCTCCTCCTCCGCCTCCTCCTCCTCCCCCTCCTCCTCCTCCTCCTCCTCCTCCTCCTCCTCCTTCCCCTCCTCCTTCCCCTCCTCCTCCTCCTCCTCCTCCTCCTCCCTCCCATCCCCTCTCCTCCCCTCCCCTCCCCCCCCCCGGCCGCCGCGTGGCAGGACCCAGGGCCCCCCGGGGTGCGGGCGCGCTGCTCCTGCCGCCCCGCAGCACGCGCCCTCCCTCGCCTCCCCGCCCTGCTCCTCTCCCTCCCTCCCTCCCCCCTCTCCCTCCCTCCCTCCTCCCTCCCTCCCTCCCTCTCCCTCCTCCTCTCCTCCCTCCCTCCCTCTCCTCCCTCCCTCCCTCCCTCCCTCCTCTCCCTCCCTCTCCCTCCCTCCCTCTCGCTCTCTCCTCCCCTCCTCCCTTCCCTCCCTCCCTCCTCCCTCCCTCTCCCTCCCTCCCTCTCTCCCTCCCGCCCTCCCCGTCCTCCCGCCGTCCCTCCCCGCGTGCCCTGCGTCGCCTGCTCCCCGCTCCCCCATCCCTCCTCCCCGCTCCCTCGTCATTCCTCCCTCTTCCCCCCTCCGTCTTTGGTTCTTGTTCTGCCTCTCGGCCTCTCGTCCTCCCCCCCTTTCCGTCTCTTCTTCTGTCGCTCCCACTCTCTGTCGCCCACCTCTGGCCTCCCCTGATGATGTTCCAACCTACTTTAGCTTTGATCGCCATAATGAATTTCGAGCACTCAGAAAGCACTCCAAACATCGAGGGGTTTCACATGTCAAGCCCTGGGAGACACCCTTTCGACACTCTTTCGACACTCTTTCGACACTTCTCTGGGTGCTCGAAATTATTTCTCGGGTGTGGTCCTTAAGTACGATGGGGGCAACATAAGCCTCCCCTTCCCATTCTCGCAGGAACAGGTTGCAGCCTGAGCCCACGTTGGGCGACCATCCCCGACACAGCGGCCGTGCAAGCAGCGCGGCCGGCGGGCACCCCTCTCGACCAGTCACGGGAGCTTGGGGCAACAAGCAGCCCGACAAATCACGGTTGCCTCACATACGATCTCTGAGGGTCCTCCAGAGGGCTTGGGGAGTGGCGGTACTGGCACGGGGTCGGGAGTGGACAGAACCCCCACCCTGACACGTCGATTAGTGAATTGTCCGTTTCCGCTTCTCGAGAGGTCGCCGCGGCCGCAATTTTCCAGGCTTGCGCCCGCCAGGTTTGGGCCCGAGGTCGTGTTCACGAAGCCACGTTTTGCTGAAGGGGGTTCTGTCCGTCCGCGACGGGGGGAGGCCTTGGGGAGTAGCGGTAACGGTACTTGTTGGTTTCCCCACGTCCCGTAGCAGGTGGGCCGCAGTACAGGAGATGCCACACACACACACACACGGTGAGGTTTCGGCTTGCGCTCAGACAGCCCCCCCCAGGTAGTAGTCCCGGCTGGCCTCAACAGGCCCCCCGAGTAGTCCCAGCTGGCCTCGACAGGCCCCCAGAATAGTCCAGTGCGGTTTCAACAGCCTTGCGCCGCCTCCGATGGCGCTCTTAGGGCGCTTCGCGCACCAGGGTTGGGGTGTTGAGACCGCCCTTCAAGGCATGTTGAGGCCAGCTGGGACTACTCTGGAGGACTGTTGAGGCCAGCGGGGACTACCTGGGGGGAGCTGTCTGTCTGCGCGCAAGCCGAAGCCGTACCACACACACACAGACTTGTTCCTCCTCGGGCACGGTGAGGGCATCATCTCGGGTGAAAGAGCGGGACACGATTGAGCATGTCAAATTGCCACCAGACGTTGCGAACGCAGACACACACCAGCATACACACACCCAAATTCATACACAGACACAACACACACAACACACGCACACACGCACACACGGACACACGCACACACGCACACACGCACATACGCACATGCGCACATACGCACATGCGCACATACGCACACAAGCACGCACGCACACACGCACGCACGCACGCACGCACGCACGCATACACGCACCCACGCACGCACCCACGCAGGCACGCACGCACGCACGCCCGTCCTCCCGCCCGCCCACCCGCCCGCCCTCCCGCGCGCCCCCCCCGCCCCACCCACCCACCCACCCACCCACCCACACACACACACACACACCCGGGGCGGCGGGGCGGCAGCCGCGGGGCAGCCGGGGGCGGGCAGCAGCCAGGGGCGGCCGCGCGAGGCGGGGGGGTACAGGCCCAGCCAAACACACACACACACACACACTCGCACACACACACACACACACGTGCAGACACACACACACACACCTACACTCACACCCACACGCACACGCACACGCACACGCACACGCACACGCACACGCACACACACACATTTTCACACACATTTTCACACACACACACACCTGCACGCACACACAAATTTACACACAGACACTCACACACAACACACACACACCACGGCACGCACGCACGTACGCATACGCACACACACACACGCACACACACACGCACACACACGCACACGCACACGTACACACACACTCACACAGAGAATCACACACACAACACACGCTCACACCACGGCACGCACGCACGCACGCACGCACGCATACGCACACACACACACCACGGACCACCGCACACACGCACGCACGCGGGGCAGCCGGGGGCGGGCAGCAGCCAGGGGCGGCCGCGCGAGGCGGGGGGGAAAAGGCCCAGACACACACAGACACCCACACACATCCGCACACACACAGACAGACACACACACACACACCCACACTCATTCCCACACCTACACGCACACGCACACGCACACGCACACGCACACGCACACGCATACGCACACGCACACGCACACGCACACGCACACGCACAACCACACGCACACCCACACGCACACGCATACACAGACACACACAGACACACGCAGAACGCACACACGCACACGCACACGCAAACGCACACGCACAACCACACACATACAGACAGACACTTTTAAACTTCCAGACACATACGCACAAACACACGCTCACACACGTACACACAAACATACAGTTACACAGCACGCATAACACACGCACACACACACACACACACACACTCAGCACAACACACGCACGCACACACCACGACACGCACACACGCACGCACGCACGCACGCACGCACACACGCCTACACACGCACACACGCACACTCACACGCACGCACACACGCACACACGCACACACACCACCGACCACCGCACGCACGCACGCACGCACGCACTTACAAGCACGCATGCGTTGGCGGTCGAACCACACGGGGGGTGCGGTTGGTGCCCCCACACATAACATCGCGCCGGCAAGGAGGGAGGACAGGGGGCTACGAGAGCTCGATGCGAGCCTCTACACACCAGCGTCGCCAAGGACGAGAAGTCCTCAGATCTTTCGTCCTGGGGCGCAGCACACGCGCATGAGCAGCAGGCGTTCCACTTGGCATCCTCGAGGGGTACCTGTAGATGGCAATGTTTTCTTGTACTCCGACGTGGATTCGTCGCGGTTTCAACGAGGATTCGACACGGATTCGACGCATGCTACACGGCTTCGACACGGATTCGATTCGACGTGGATCTCGGCGCGACGTGACAGACAAGGTCCCCCGAAGATGCAACACAGGATGTTGCATGCGCAGGCGCGCCTGATTTGCAGCAGCGCAGCCTGCTTGCGTTTCCCAGCATCTTGTCTTCGATGTCTGTTCATGGGAGCCTTGGGCGGCGACATTGAAATCAGGTTTTCCTGCATGTGGACAGCGTGGGGGCCACATTTGGCCCATCCTCCTGCTCCTCCTCTCCCCTCCTGTTCCCCCTCCCCCTCCTCGTTCCCCGAGCCCCCACGAATCCAGTCCAAGTCTGGTCCAACTCCTGTCCAGATGTGTTCCAAACCCAGTCCAGATCAGGCCCAAATCGGACAGCGCCGGGGGCCACGCAGGCTCCCATGGCACGGACACCAAATCTTGTCCTTTGCCGATCCGCCTCCGCCTCCTCCTCCGCCTCCTCCTCCGCCTCCTCCTCCGCCCCCTCCTCCTCCTCCTCCACCTCCTCCACCTCCTCCTCCTCCTCCTCCTCCTCCTGGGGGGTGCTTGGCAGGCGCGAGGTCGGTGCTCGACGTGATCGACTGCGCCGACTCCGAGTGAGCTGCCCTGCCTCTTCTGCGTCGGGGCGCCGCCGTGGCGATAGGCCTGCGTCTCCAGTGGTTCTCGGAGGTGTGTCGCGGTCGGCCTGGCTGGGCCAAGCCAGATGCGCAGCACAGTCGGCGTCTTTGTGGGCCCCGGAAACGGCAGGGCCGTTTTTTTAAACCGTTTCCAATAACATGTTTTTCGACAGTGAAAACGGCAAACAAACGGCCCTGTCGTTTCCAGGGCTCACTAAGGGTCAGCCTGGCTGGGCCAAGCCAGGTGCGCAGCACAGTCGGCGGCATCTCGACATCTTCGGAATAGCTGGAGAAGCGGGCCTCCTGACAGCCAGGTAAGAAGGGATGCTACAGTCGGGGCGCTGAAGAAGGAACTCTTTTCGTTGGGGAGGGGCTCCGCGTTCCTGAAGTGTTTCGCAGCTTGCCTCAGGTTTTCCTTAGATTTTCGAAGGGAAATCAAAGTTTACCTTATGGAACAAAGGGGCCTCGTTCCTTATTTAGGGTTCCTTAGATCAACGCTTCGACTGTAGCTGGAAAAGCGGGCCTCCTGACAGCCAGGCAAGAAGGGATACGATGTGGACAGCCCCAGCTCATCTCGCCGCTTCAGTCCTGGTGTGTGGTTCTGGGTGTGGCGGCCGCACGCCAGTGCCCGAGCTTTCGGTCATGAGATACACGCAATGTGGGCCATCGTGCCATGTATCTCTGCGCAGTCGTCGTGCTGCCGTCGACGCAGGTGAGTGCGCAATACGCGTCGACCCAGTACGGATTCGGCGCAGCTGTCCGTGGTCGAGCAGGCGGTCACAAGTGCGATAGGGTCTCCCTGAAGATCGCATCTCCGACTGAGTTGACCATGTGATGGACAAGGCAGAGTGTGGACGCGTGAGCCCGATTGCGCTTTCGAGGCCAGGGAGATAGTTCGACGTTTGTGGCAACACATGGTTATAGTATGCCGTGTTTAGTTTGGGGCAGCCAGAGTTTGCCCCTCGCCGAGCCTCGACCAGTCGGGCCTGCAGGTGACGGGGCCCCGAGATGGAGCCTAAATGTTGTTTCAACCAAGGCAAGCTATACTGACGCATACCCCGCTATACTCCACTTGAGGTTAGTTGATAGTTCCTGGCCAACATACCACCTCCCATGGCTGGAAACAATAATCCTGGGGGCATTGCAAGACATCTCACCGACTGCCTTCCGGGCAGGAGGAGGACGAGGATGAGGAGGAGGAGGGAGGAGGAGGAGGAGGAGGATGAGGAGGAGGAGGAAGGAGGAGGAGGAGGAAAGAGGAGGAGGAGGAGGAGGAGGAGGAGGAGGGGAGGAGGAGGAGGAGGAGGAGAAGGAGGAGCTGCTGGGGCGGGTGAGGGCTCTGCAGGGCACCTGGCTTGCTCCCCATCCCTGCCGCGGGGACATCGTCTTGGAGAGGGGGGCGGATGGCCAGGAGGTGCTGCTTGGCAGATTGGCGGAGGACTGGGAGGCCAGGGGCCGAAGAGATAACCAGCGGCTCTGGAGACGCGATGGTGCCTCTGGCTTGGGATCGCCCAGCGCGGCCGCTCGCCCCCTCCCTGTCGCGTGAAGGGCGATGAGACCAAGGAGTCGTCCTGCGGGGCTCCTCTTCCTCCTCCTCCTCCTCCTCCTCCTTTTCCGTCCATGTACGTTCGCTCCTCCTCCTTTTCCTGTTCCTCCTCCTTTTCCTCCTCATTCGCCTCCTCCTCATTGGCCGAGCCAGAGTGCGTCATCAAGGCGGCCGCTAGCCCTGCTCCAGGCATGGCCAGCTGTCCGCTCAGGCGTGCTCTGCTTCAGGCTGCGGTTTGGGGTGCTCTGATCGGCCGTTACCTTCCCCTTGGGCCGTTTTGGGGGCCTCTTGGGAGCCTCTTGGGCCGTCTTGGGGGTCTTGGGGGCCTCTTGGGGCGTCGCCAACGCCGTGAAAGCCGAAAAGCCGTATGTGCTAAAAATATACGCTTCCTTTAGGGAAAATCGATGGCTTGCTTTTTAGGGAAAATCGATGACCTCTCTCGGGGCCCTCGCCCCCGCGCGGCCAGAGCCCTCCCGCTCGGCGCGACCTCCTTGCAGCCCTGGCCGCCCGGGGGGGGGGAGTGGGCGCTGGCACTGGCCCGTCCAGGGCTCGGCCTCTTGCGGCCGCCGCCGTCGTCGTCGTCGTCGTCGTCGTCGTCGTCGTCGTCGTCGTCGTCGTCGTCGTCGTCGTCGTCGTCGTCGTCGTCGTCGTCCCCCTGTGGTCGTGACCCTGTGGGCGTGGCGTGGTGGGCGGGGGTGCCAGTGCCTCCCCGCACCGAGTGCAGGGCCCAGAGGAGCGCAGATAAACGGTGCCGAGGGGCTCAGGTCTCCGCCTCAGTCGCCCCGTGTGGTCCGCGTTCGGGGCGAGCAGCCGTTATCGGAAACGGGGGAGGCTCCGACCTTCACTGGAAGCTTGGAAATGGGCACCAACATCAGCACCAGGCGTTGCCTCCACGGGAGGAAGATGATCCTTGATTTTGGTGTTGGTGGTATTCTTTTCGGCCACCTAGAAAGCCGGAAAATTTCCGCCATGACCGAGATCGGGATCATCTTTCCTCGGTGGAAGCACACCGCCGATACTGGTGTTGGTGTCAACCTCTAGGCCTCCGGCTTCATGGCCGCATTCGCTTTCATTCGTAGAGGCGCGCTGTTTCAGGAGGCCGCGCCGGTGCTGCAGCTGTGCCAGCAGTGGGTACACGCCGCGCTGGGACGCTCAGTGTGTAGAGTCGCTCGCTGCACTCGCCGCGCGAGACGGCAGACTCAAGTAGGGGCAGTAGGGCCAATGCGCGACCATTGCGATGCGAACGGTTGCCCAGCAGCCACAGGCGGGAGCTGAAAAGATAGCCAGGGTGGCCTCAGTTGAGGAGCCTCAGCGGAGAAATGGGTCAACGATCCGTGTTGGGGGGGGTTGAAAGCTGAGTGGAAATACAAAAGTAAGATGCTAGAGAACGAGAGGAGAATGGGGCGAGTGGTTTTGAGTCCGTGGTGCGTAGATTGGACGACGCGGAGGAGCTGCCAGACACTGTCGTGCAAGCAAGGGCCGGTCTGCGAAAAGAATTGTATCGATGGATTGCGTTGCCCATATGGGCATCTGCTTCGAGCGCATGTAGATTTGCCCAGTGTTCGCGAATTGTTGTAATTAGTTAGTGCGGAGAGAAGTTGAGTGCTGACGCGACCATTCATGCGTGCTCGCTACGATGTGAGCGTGCGTGTTGAAAGTTCCCACATGGTATATGTTGTAGCATCTGTACAGGCAGCTTCTTGCTTGAATGCTTTTTACTTTGGCGATCGCCGCTGGTCGCCATAGCAGTGCCGTTTGTCGTATTCGTTGTTTACGGTGCGTCTGCCATTGGATTTGGGAGTGATTGCTTCTTTGATCCTGTGTTGTGCTTGGCCGCATAGCTCTATCCATTTGACTGGTGCACTGCCGTGCGCAGGGTAACTACATCGGCGATGCAAGAGCGTCCCGGGGCCCTCGCTGCAGAACAGACACACATGCGAGATGTCCCGGCAGTGCTGTGCGAAGCGCTGCTGGCACCAGCACTTGTTGGCCGCAGGGCCTCTCAGGCAATTGCGGCAGTGAGCCGTCCACGAAGCCGAATCGTACGACAACAAATAACAAATCCAAGGCCGGCCTGAGGCACATCGGTCTAATCCACTCGCTTCCAAAGTGGGACTGACGTGCCTGCTCGTCAGTCACGACAGCATCGGCTACAGCTTCACGAACGCGCAAACCGAAAGGAGGGCGAGACAGACTACAGTTCCAAAATTCCTCCCAACAACATTAGTTGGCGATTCGCTTCCAAAGTCGAGACGACATCTAACTCTTGCCAACGAGAGCACCAACGCCGCCACGGGCTGGCGAACGGCACTCCGTTTCTTAACCTTGGGCCGACACGCGCACCGCACCCTGAAACGCAGAGACCGAAACGGCCTTCGAGACAGACCTACACACTTCTTGCCCGTCGCCACCAGTGACACAGGACAGCGGGCCCTCCTGGAGGCCCCCATTGCGGAACCGCGTGGGTCCCAGGGGCTGCCCGGGCTGCAGGGTACCAGAAGAACGCGCCGCTGAGACTCGAAGGGCGCGAATGGCCGAATCTCCGAGGCCCCCATGATGCGGCCCCCCCACGTCGCCTTGGCGGCAGGCCCCGCCCCGTAGACCCGACCCGCCGCCCTCCCCCGACCAAGTTTCGGGAGCCTGCCTGCCGCGGCGCTAGCAGCAGCGAGACGACAGGCCTGCGTAGGCACTTGCCTGTGGCGTCCGTCTGTCGCATCACCGCCCACATCGCGGTGATTCGAAAAGGAAGAACTGGCGTCGAGCGGCCAATCAGGATCCGCCAGCAGCGTCTCGGACAGATCCGCAGTGGAGGAAAGGCAGCAAGTCTTGCACATGTTGAGTGGCAGGCCCTGGCTGGCCATCTCAGCGTTGACTGCGTTGGCAGCCCGGACCAGCTGCCTGGCCACCACCGTCAGGCGCCCGATGGCGTGAACCTCGATGTCGCCGACACTGTTAAGCGGCCTGCGCACGGGCGTCTCCACCGAGATGGTTCTGAGCACGCAGAGGGTGAGGAGTTTGACAACTGCGGTACAGTGAGCGGTTTGAATAAGGAACACTTATTTTGCAAAAGGGGCTCGGTCGTTCCTTAGGTTTGCATGCGTTATTTACAGTTCCTTGTGCGTTATGTGTTATTTGTCGTTCCTTATGCGTTATTCCTTGGGGTAAGAAAGGGGCTTCGTTCCTTATTTATCATACCTTAGGTCAGGCCGATGACTGTAGCGCAGGAGCAGCCCGAGATCACCGTGCCGTTGGGAGGAATCACTTCCCTGGAGGTCGCGCGCAGCGCACTCGCCGCGGACCGCGGCCGAGCGCGCACAACGTTCGCAGCAGGCGCTCGCCAAGGCCGTAGTGGCGGCTGGCCGACCGCATGGCGGCGTGGGAGACGTCCGCAAAGAACGTCGAGATGTCGAAGTACAGCGTGCCGCTGACCATACAGTATGGCGGCGCTTCGCACGCACCACGAGCAACGTATGGATGTGGGCTGCCCTGTCCGACGTCGTGCCCCTGCTCTTGCCCCAGAAGAGCGTCGGGTCAACGCTGCGTTCCCAGCGTCGCACGTCGAGCTGGTTGCTCCGAGACCGGACCCGAGGCCACAGGTCAAGCAGGCCTATTGGCCTACCTTGTCGGGCGGGGGCCTCGGGATGAAGTCGAACAGCGTCGTCCACAGATGCGCCACGGGGGCTTGCCGCTCTCACTCGTGGAGGCTGCCAGCGACCCTGATCGGCCAGGCCTCCGACATCTGCTCCAGCGTTCGAGGCCCTCTGGAGGCCCCGGGGCGCCGCGGACGCGCGGGCCGAGGAGGAGGAGGAGGAGGAGGAGGAGGAGGAGGAGGAGGAGGAGGGGGAGGAGAGGAGGAGGAGGAGGAGGAGGGGGAGGAGGGGGAGGAGGAGGAGGAGGAGGAGGAGGAGGAGGAGGAGGAGGAGGAGGAGGAGGAGGGAGGAGGAGGAGGGGGGAGGAGGCAAAAGAGGCTGTCCCAGCCTAACCCTCTCGGCCCCGTGCGCTCCTCGAAGCTGCTGCTCTCGGCACTGCGCGGGCCTGTGCCACACGGAGAGCGGGCGCCCGGCCCAGCTTCAGGGAACCACGCTGCCGCCAGAAGCTCAGCAAGGAATTATGATGTCCCAACCTACTTTCGCGCCGATCACCAGGACGAATAGCGAGCGGCCGAAAAAAAGTGCTCGTTTGACACTCTTTTGGCACTTTTCTGGGTGTTCGAATTTATTTCTGGGATGCGGTCCTTAAGTAGGATGGGAACAACATAAGTCAAGGCAGGAAAAACCACCCAGACCAGACACTTGGCGTCTACGAAACGGCCCCGGGCGTTCACCAAACAGCCCCCGTCCTGTTCGATATTCCTTCTGTGGGTGCGTTTGCTGCACGGCTTCGCGTGTCGGGGTGGTTGTCATCGGGTGGGAGGGAGAGAGGGAGGGAAGGAGGGGGGGGGAGGGGGGGAGGGAGGGAGGGAGGGAGGGAGGGAGAGAGGAAGAGGAGGAGGAGGAGGAGGAGGAGGAGGAGGAGGAGGAGGAGGAGGAGGAGGAGGAAGATGATAAGGAGGAGGAGGGGGAGGAGGAGAAGGAGGGCTCGCGGTCGGCCTTGGACCAGCGAGCGCGAGATGGCCTCCGCCGCCGCCGAGCCCGCCTGCGGGAGGGCGCTACGGCCCCCCTTGGCAGCACTGCGGGCAGCGACTCTCCGCGGGCCGAGACCGAGTCGGCCTGTGCGCCGCGCGGCCCGAGGCGGAGGCGCAGAGCTCGGCGGCGAGCTGCGGCGTCGGAGTTTCGGGCTCGATAGGGGAACGAAGAATGACATTCACATAAAAACTCGGAGGTCCGCGCGGATTTCTCGGATCCGCACTGGGCCCCCTTCCCTGGCGCGCGCGCGGAGCGCGCCAGGGGCGGCGCCGGGGGCGCCGCCGGGGGGTACAGCGCGGATGGGAGAAATCCGCACGGATCTCCGAGTTTTTATGCCCATGTCGTTCTTCGTTCCCCTATTTGAGGCTCGAGGTCTTCGGACGTTGTCGTCGGTTCTCGGCGGTTTTCCAGCCTCGGAGTGCGTTCCAGCGGCTGCGCCTCGCCGAGGGCGTTCCGGGGGTGCCTGGATCGTCCCGAACGGCCGCCGGCGACCCGAGATATGACCCCCCAAACCGGGCGCGCTGGGGGGGGGGGGGGAAGTGAGAAGGAGAAGGCCTTCTCAGAAGGCGGCGGGACTTCTCAGACGCCCCGGCGTCTTCCGAGGGGTTTGTGCTGCCTCCGGGGAAGGCTTAGAAACTTGTGCAGAAGGCCGGAGGACTTCCGAAGCTTTGAGAAGGCCCGCCCCTCCTCCCTTCCCCCCCTCGCTCGCAGCCGAAGGCTCTCGCCGCGCCGCAGACCGCACCGACGCGTCGTCCCTGCACCGCCGCTGCAGCTCATTCTCCAGCAGGCCTTCGAACCAGACCGCCAGCGGGCTTTTTCGCTCGGCGATCGGAAGGGGGGAACAGCGACGCCAACACTGCCAGGGGGCTACCTCAAGCGAGGAGGTCCACGATGCCTTCCCGGGCTGGAGGCCGGGGATGTCTCGAGCGAGAGGGGTGACCACACCACCAGGGAGACACCCCGTGCTCCTCGCATCTCCTCGCCCTGGTGGTGTTGGCGTCGCCTTTCCGTGTTCCTACCGCCAGGGCCTCTGCCTCAGGGAGCGCGGGGGGGCAGACAGTCCTCAGACCGATGTGACGCAGCTTGGCGTGCTCCATTCGTCAGTGGGCCGCTCGGCACGGCGAGGGTCTTCGATCCAGACGTGAGGCTGTGCGCAGATCTCCCGAATGCGCGTCGTGACCTGCACGTGCGAGCCCGCAGGCGTGCCAGCATGGGCCACAGCGGCCTCCATGCTGTGGGCCAGGGCCCGCGAGCACACGAAGAAGTCGTGCTCGTTGGGGGGGGGTCGTGTTCACGCAGAAGCACCCGAACTGTGAAGTGCAACCGCGTTGCTCATCATCTCCCGATGGATAATACTGGCCTTGATGTCATGGAAGGTGCCGAGGTAGTGGTAGTGAAAGCAGTGGCTCCCTCTTCTTCCAAGGCAGTGCCAGTACAGCTTGTCGTTGAGACTGTGTCGAAATACTGCATAGAAGTAGGTTCCAAGTTCAAGTAACAGCCATGACGCCTGCAGTGCAGCTTGTCCATGTCATCAACTTTGGTTTCTTCGAAGAGGTGTACTTGTTGATGTTGAGCTCCTGTGTTGTGATGAACAATATTTCTATTCATAGTCGCCACTTTACGTCCCAGCTGTGAGTTATACGCGTCTA